GCTTCCAGCTTCTGGTGGCTGTCAGCATTCCTTAATTGATAGCTTATCTTTTCAATCTCTGTTCCATGGTCTTATTGCCTCCTCCACTTCTGTCTGCCTGCCTGTCTCTCTCTCTCTCTCTCTCCCCCCCCTTCCCTCTTCCCTCTTGACTTTTAAGGATACTTGTCCTTAGATTCAGGGCTCACCTGGATAACCCAAGATGATCTACTTATCTCAAGATCTTTAATTACAAAGGACATTTTTTCCAAATAGGGTAACAGTCACCAAATTTTGAGCTTAAGGACTACCTGTCTTTCTGGGGCTCATTCAGCCCACTACAGTAATAATTCCAGGTTTCAATCTCTTTCCAGAGCCCAAGCTCTAAACCATGCTAGTGACATGAGGTGCCATTTAAGAGGAAGGGGAAAGGAGGGTGCATCAACCAACCAGCAGGTAACTCCTACACACACCTGTGCCTGTGGAGGTCGAGGAGCCAAGCCTGAACTATATGGCCATTTGGGTCTTCCCACTGGGAAGGAAGAGGATCTCCCATTCAGGAAACATCACAGGAGCCAGGGGAAGGGGGGCAGGCTTGATAAGACATACTCTTTCAGGAGAAATCTGCTGCCTCTTTCTTTCTTTCCGATTACTTTTTTTTTTTTTTTGATGATTTTCTCTTTATGTGATTTTTCTCTAGATTTTATCCCCAATATCTGGAATATTTAAGCATTTACAGCAATACTAAAAGTACCTTATGGCATTACCGCAAAATTTGACTCAACCGTAACTAGGTCAGAAGTGTTGAGTTCATGTTATTGGGAGGTGAAAGGGAACCTCCATTTCAGAGCCAGCAGATATAGATGTAGAACTGCGTTAGGAACAGAATGGTTTTTCAAGAGCCTCAAACAAATGTCATCATTATTCTACACCTTCAATTACAATTTGCCTCTTCACAGAAATACAGTGTGTATTCAGATTTACCCTTTTTTTTTTGAGGGGAGCCCAAACATTTTTTCCCCCTAAACTGACATCTACAAAATGTGTTAATCAGAGCATGCGCTCACATGTGTGTGAGTGTGTGTGTTTGTTAGTGGACATTATAGCACATTAGTGGGTCAGACAAACCTGGGTTTAAATCCCAGTTCTGCCTTTTACATACTATATATACATAAGTTAGTTGTTTAAGCTTCAGACTCTTTATGTGTAAAGTGGGATTAATAACTACTTATTTCATAATATTGTTGGATTAGAAACAAGTAAGGGAAATCAGTCAATCTCAGCAAATAGTAATAGTGGTAGCACCTATTATTTCCTAATATACAAGCTAGTATAGACAGGAACTATTTTGTTCAAAGTTGGTTATTGAGGGAATCCTTTTTATATTCTTTGATTTTTTTTTTTCCTTCCAGACTTCTGCTCTTGTTATTGCACCTAATTTAGGACTTTTAATTCTTCATTCAAGGCATAAGGTGTTTTTCATTGTTTTTAACAGTTTATTGTGTGTTTTTTTCTTTTAATTTTGAGGTAATTTTAGACTTACAGACAGATCAAAAATAGTACTGTGTTCCCATATGTGCCTCACTTAGCTTCCTCTTATGTTAGTTAATATCTTACATAACCACAGAACATTTATTCAAAACTAAGAAATTAGTCAAGACATAGATTTTTTACACTTGTCCTCTACAGTCTCTTCTCCATAGCAACCAAAGTGATCTTGGTGACTTTGAGCAGATTGTTATTGATTTGCTTAAAATGCCTGCATCTTCCCCTCATAATCTGAGTAAGAACCAAACTACTTCCTGTGGCACCTAGGCCCCAAGCCCACCCACCCTGCCTGTACCCCAGAGCTTGCCACCCTCCTCCTTTCTCTTCTCTTAAGCTAGCTCTCCCCAGTAAGGTCTTTGCTCCCCTCTTCTCTCAGATGTTCCTCCCTACATCTTGAAGTAGCAGCTGCTTCTCCAGCGGTTCTCTTCATAGAGACTTTTCATGACTACCCTGTCTAAAGTATCTCCACACATCACAGTCTCACCACCTAGTTTTCTTATCTACAATTGTCTGCAGTTACTTTGTTTCTGTGTTGTTTATTGCACATCCCCATGAAAGCAGAGGCCCTTCCCATTATGTTTCCAACATCTAGGTCATAATACTGAATTGATTATTTCCATCAAATGAGGACTGTGATTTGGATTTGGTTCTGTTTGTTTGGTGTTTTTTGTTTTTGGGGAGTTTTTTTTTGAGATAGTGTCTTGCTTTGTTGCCCAGGCTGGAGTGCAATGACATGATCACAGCTTACCATGACCTTGAACTCCTGGGCTCAAGCCATCCTCCTGCCTCAGCCTCCTGAGTAGCTGAGACTACAGGCACATGCCAGCAGACCCAGCTAATTTATTTATTTTTGTAGAGAGGAGGTCTCACTCTGTTGCCCAGGCTGGTCTCAAGCTCCTAGGCTCAAGCCATCCCCTCACCTCAGCCTCCCAAAGTGCTAGAATTACAGGCAGGAGCCACTGTGTTCGGCCTAAGACTACTTTTCTTGTCCCGTGTGGGTAAGAGCTCAGGCCTCCCTGATGCTGTATCAGGACCCCTAGCCCTGCCCCTCCTCTATTTAGATTCTTTGAAAAGGTCAGTGAAAAATTACCAACCGGTGATTTTTTTTTTTCTTAATACTGGAAAAATTAAGAAGGGTCCTGGTGACCTTAAAGTTTCTCCAGTTCTCAGATTTTAGAATTCCTTGCCCCCTTCTGACAGACTTATGAACAAAGGTTTTCTGGAAATATCATAAAGTCTCACAGGTGCTTGGCAGTTCTGAAAGTGTGAGGAGTGAGCATAGGTACACAAACGCATGGGTCTGTGCTCATTTGTGCGTATGCCTGTCTTCACATTGGCTAATGTGTATTTTCTCCAAAGAGAGTGGGGGCTATTGAGCCTGAAATAGGGAACACCAGGACACTGAGATCAAATGCTTTGAAAGTGACTGTGCCAACGCTTTTTGCTAATTAAAGAATGTTAGGACAGTCACCCCTAGCAGCAGTAAAGGGCGCCCCATTACCTCGCTTTATGGTGAGCTGGGTAAATTTAAAGGCAGCTATAAATATCCCACTGAGTGCCCAAGCTGGAGCGCAGTCGGCGGGCACCTGGCTGGTCAAGGAGGGGAGCCCAGAGCTTGGTCCCCTCTGTCCAGGCTCCTCATCCTTGTTAGCTGTCAGTCTCTGAATGTTGCTTGTCTGAAGAAGAAATGATTTTATGAACAAACTCTTAATGTAAAACACACAGGGAGACAGAGCTGACAGCTGTGTAGCGAGTCTGACTGGGAGCCCATGCCACCTGGGTCCTCCTCCAGTTTTGTCATAGACTTTCTTTTCCTTTTGCCTGAAGGAATGTGTCTTTTCCTGTTGTAACTCAGTTTCCTTCAATTGTGGGTGTGCCACAGAAACTAAAAAACAAAAGGTCACATGGTTTAAGGCCATACCCCTGGAAATACATATTCTAGGCCCCTTACTGAGCTGTGCTCCAGAGAAAAACTTAGCATTTAGAAAGTGTGAACAAAATGGGAACAGACTTTTTATACTTACAGAATTTCTGACTAAATTTAAGATGTGTACTCAGCTTAGAACTTTCTCCATATTTTTAATCTATTCAATTTAGGCTAAAACTGCTGTGTCCTTTTCTGAAGTTTCTTCTTGTGTCTCTCCCAGGGCCGCCAAGCTGTTCCAGTCCTCTCGGTGTGTAGAGCGGGCCACGTTGGCACTGCCTTCTCTGACTGCTTTCTTAATCTGTTTTTCAGTTTCCTTGTGCATCAGCATCATGGCCATCGAGTTGCCCTGTACAAATTGCTCATTATTTTCACATGTATGCTTCTGGTTTTAGCTGTGGTAGGGTCTTCCTCCTTCTAGTTGGTATGATCTCAGTCCATTTAATGCTGACCTGGTAATGTGAGTTCCTTGGCTTGTTCATTTAAGGGGTTTTGGGAAGAGAATTAAACAACCTGTGGTGGAAATGTGGGCTTGCATTTTGTCTATCAGTTGCTGGGTAACCAGCCTCGCTCTACCCCATGCCACCCTTGAGCAAAAGGATGAGCACTTTACCTTTGGAGGTGGAGGGGAGTGCAGCTTTGGGAACCCCAGGAGACCAGCCTGGAGCTCATACCCCTGCTTCCCTGTGAGTCATCAAATGACTGATGGGTGGGTTGGCTAACACCCAGGTTCCTGGATACTGCCTTCCTTTTTCTATTATGATGTGGGCTTCTTCAGGAGTTAGAGCTGTCCAGCCTGTAACCTGCTTTTGGACAATGTTTTTAGATGCAACTCTATCCACAAATACTTCCTTTATATCCAGAGGATATAAGGGGATAGGTGAACATGAACTGAAGGCTCCAGGACTCTCAGCTCTTCTGTCAGATCTAGAGAGTTAGAATGTCCTCATTTTGTTGGTTGGCTACTTGGTCTGCTCAGGTACATATCTCGCTTTTGCTTACTGACTCGCTTTTGCTTACTGAATTTGGCCATGATAGGTCTGTATGTCTGTTTCTTTTTAACATGGCTACCTTGAGCCCTATTCTCCCTTACTCCAGAATACCACCCTGGGCCATGAATCCCCATCTTTCCATGTTTGCCTCACCACCAGCTAAGAGTGCTAAGCAGGGTGCTCTGAGGAACCTTTCATCTTGGTCTGTGTTAAACTATTTATCTGAAAGATCCCAGGCTGAAATGGCTCTGCTTCTGATGGGGGGTGGTAAGTCCCAGCCTTTGTGGGACTACCAGCTGAGGATCTGGGGGTCCCCTATCATAACGCCTGGATACCGGTAGCCTTGCTAGAAGACCCCTCATTCTGTGTCAGTTTTGTGTGGCAGCCTAAAAAGGCCGCTTGATTTGTAGTCAGTGCACAGACCCTGAAAAAAACCCATGAGGAGTCCTGCCAGCCAATAACTGAAAGGATGCTTTGTGTAAGTGATCAGTGTCTGAGGTGGACAGAGGCTCCCCCATGCTCCAAAGATGGCCTCTCTAGCCCAGCAACTTGGTGGTACTGAGTCCATGGGGATTCCTCCCTAAGAGGAGATCATCTTGGGATCCCAGACTCATGTAGCAACTTAAGCTCTGTTCTTCCTGCCCTTGCTTCTGGCAGTCTGCCTCCAAATGCCTGTCAGTGAGGTCCATTCAAGGCTGTATCTATGCATGTGAGAGAGACAGTAAGTAAAAGAGAGAATATGAACATGAACAGACCAACCAACCAACAAACTGGAGGCATTGTCATTCTTCTCATGCTCCTGAGAATGATGTAGCCTACGCCCAAAACTCTGCTGCTCATTTTCGAATTCCTCCTGCCTCAGCCTCCTAAGTTACCGGGATTACGCTTCCCCATTTTTTTGTTTTTTTGAGTCAAACTCTCACTCTGTCATGCAGGCTGGAGTGCGGTGGCATGATCGCGGTGCACCGTAGCCTCTACCTCCTGGGCTCAGGCGATCCTTCTACCTAAGCCTCCCGAGTAGCTGGAACTACAGGCATGCGCTATCATACCTGGCATATTATTTTGCTGTTTTGTAGAGACGAGGTCTTGCCATGTTGCCCAGGCTGGTCCTAAACTCCTGGGCTCAAGCAGTGCCCTCGCCCTTGGTCTCCCTAAGTGCTAGGATTACAGGCGTGAACCACAGCATGCCTACAGACCCCATTTTTAATACTTCCTAAGGAGCTGGCATTTTAAAAATGTTATCTGTTATTAATGAGTTTTCTAAGCACATGACTTTGACTCTTGTTTAGGTAAATAAGACCATTTTCATTTAAGTACTGCTTTTTATGAAGGAAAATAATGAAATGGGTGTTGAAGAACTTCCTGAGGTCTCACACACACGTGTGACCCTGGAGAAAGGCAGCGCTGGCATGGGTGTGGAGGTCTGGCCTGAATCTAAACATCTCCATCTTAGGCCGCATCTCCTCAGGAGAGAAGCAGAGAGGGTGGCCACAGCTTGCCCGTCTCAGAGGTGACACCCGTTCCCTCTGCCCCCCCACATTTCAGTGATGCTGGTTTTCTCATACTGGCTTCCCTTTTGCCAGGTTAAAACCCTCCTTATGTCCTATTTGCTCTAATTCCTTTGAATATAGTCCATTATAAATAATATACATGTAAAAGACATTGCAAGACTTTCCAGAGAGTGTCTACCAAATAAGACAATGTAACCTAACAAATATTTTCTTCCATTTTATTTTGGAAGCCTCCAGGAAAGGGGCAGTGCAGAGGGCAGGCTGTGGGCCTCAAAGAGTCTGCTGGGGTTGGAAGATAGCAGAGTGCGCCTCCTGCGCGTAGTTTGTCCAAAGGCATGTTTACTCCCAAAAGGAACAAAAATGTGAACCCCGTCAAGGACTTGACCTCAGACTCACTGCTTTTACCTCTGGTATTTGGAGGAGAAAAAAACCCAAGGAAATGTTTCCATTCAGCTGAAAGAAAGCATTTTCCAGACCTACCTCGTATCTTAAATGCCTCATCACCACACTCAGGCCAGTGGCACTAGTGGTTTGTGTGTTATCCCTTGCATTCAAGGAGCTTTGCAGCCCTGAAAGGTTTATAGCACAGAAAGGTTTATTCAGGCCACATCCACAAAGGGACAGGCAGGCTCCCAAAGCATCAGGCTTTGTAGACAAGTGCATCCCTGCCTGATTCCCAGAGACTCTTGTCCCCTGGGATAGGTCAGGTGAGCAGAAAATCTAAATCAGTGATTCGAAAGCTGTTTACCACACAGTTTTCTGCATGGGCCCCCTGCATGTACAACACACAGATTTTAAGAATTCTTCCTCCCTGCCCTTACCTGACTGAAATCATTCATTCTTTTTGCATCAAAGAAGATAATAAAACAGAATTTAGAATTTTTTTAAAGAGAGTTTGTCTTCCCTTTCTGTCTCCTCCCCCATCTTTTATCTCTCTTCTCATTCCTACTCCTAAACAACTTAAGAGAACCTTCCAAAGGGGACTCGTTGTGTGGCTTTGCTTTCATTCTCAGAGACACAGCAGCATTTTTTCATGTGGTCCTTTATTTTTCCAGGTAGTTATTATGGAGTGGAAGGAATAGACTATCTGTTTCTGTATTGATGGAGCACGTTCAGTTGTTATGTACATTTGTCTCTGAGGCCTGCTAATGCCATTTGAGTTTCTAAAATCCTTATTTTTGCAAATCCATTTGTGCCCTGGATTTAGCTCCCGATTACAGGATTAGCAGAGATTATGGGGTCTGTCTGATGTCCTCTCCAAGCTTTCTATCAGATTTATGGCTATGAATTGAGAAATTTGCACATTGGTAGCATGGAAACTAGAGGCAGATGTGGGCCAATGGCAGAGGAAAAAAAAAAAAAGAAGTTCCTCTGAGAACTGGAGTGGCAGCCAGGCTCGGTGGCTCAGCCTATAATCCCGCACTTTGGGAGGCTGAGGTGAGTGGATTGCCTGAGCCCGCGGGTTCGAGACCCGTCTGGGCAACTTGGCGAGACCTCATCTCTACAATAAATCAAAAACTAGCCGGGCGCCATAGCGCGCGCCTGTAGTTCCGGCTACTTGAAAGGCTGAGGCAGAAGGATCGCCGGAGCCCGGTAGCTCGAGGCTGTGGTGGCTGGTAGCGGCCACTGCACTCCAGTCTGGGCGACAGAGTGAGACTCCAACTCAAAAAAAAAAAAAAGAAGAAGAAGAACTAGAGTGGCATCAATCCTGATATTTGGATCAGAACCAGCTAAGACCCTAAAAACGTCAACTTTCTGCCTCTCTTGAATTCAGAGCTGTGCTGAACGGCCTCTTCCCTCCTTTCTGGACTAACTTTCCAGGGACCCTTGACTCCGCCTTCTCCCCACCCCAGTGACTGCACCTAGAATGGAATTCTGAGCCATGCTCAAGCCCTCTGGGTGGCATCCTTTGCTAAGAGCTCTCCTGTCATCAGCAGTCCCTATGGCCTCTATCCTGTCAATTCTCATTAGACAGCTCTTCTGCGCTGCATTGAGGAGCCTGAGAGGCTGAAAAAAGGGACAGAGATGGGCTTGGGGCACAGAGCAAACCCTGCCACTCCTACCCTGTGACAAGCAATATTAGGGGATCCAGCCTGCTAGTTCTGTTACAGAGGTGGAGAAAGACATATGTAACTATGGTAAAGACTCATGTGTTTCTTTAGGGTATAGATGTTTTATGCTGTAAGAGTAGACCATTCAGGCAGCTTAAATAATCAGTCCCCAAGTAGGGCAGCTCCAGGGTGGGTTGATTTAACTGAGATGCAGCCCCTTATCTGTCAGGCACCTTGGTCCTTTCCATGTTTCTGCTCTACCATTCTCTCCCTGTGACCACAAGGCCTTTCTTGGCTACAAGATGGTTGCCATAGCTCCAGGCATTGCATGCCCACACCAGGTCTCCAGGGCAGGAAGAGTATTGTTTCTTATTTTGTGTCTTTTTGTTGTTGTTGTTGTTTTTAAGCAAAATAATCCTTACTCTGACGTCTTTCAGCAGTCTTCCTTTTACATCTTATTACCCAGACCTGGATGACTGTGCCCACTCCTAAACCAATATGGGAGACCAGGAAGGGAACTCTCCTTCCTCACCTCAGTGATCGGCTGAGACTAGGGATTTGTAGTGACCATGAAGAAAAAGTTACATCTTTATTTTTATTAACCTCTAATTAAATTAGGATTTTTTTGAATATGAATGTTAGCAACAAATCAAGGTAAATTAATATATGACTTTATCACCAATAGAAATAAAAAAATTTTCATATAACACTATAATAATTGTAGGAATTTCAAAATATTGTTTATTCTTATCACTACTTTGAGTGTATAGCAGTTATTAGACCTGCTGCTAGATCTTGTTATTTAGTGTGTTAATAAAAAATATGTATTTATTTGCTGATTTTGGTGAATATTTAAAACTATTTTGATAACTCTAGTTATTAAAGATAATTCTGTGAAGGGGTCCACAGGCTTTCCTCAACTGCCAGAGGAGTCTGTGGCGTGAAAAAATAACCTGGATCAGGCAGCATTTTCCTGAGTCACAAACAACAGCATATGGTACAGACCTGCCAGCAGGGAGAAGTTAGAAAGCGCTGTCGATTGGACAGCCTGTGGACCTCTCCACAGCGAATACCCGTGGACTCAGGCAGCCCAAGTGCCACCGAGGGGTCCCTTCCCTACTATTGCCCAGCTACATGTAACAGCAGGAGCTTCCAAACTTCAGATATTTTTAGGCCATATTTATGCATTTGCCAAAGCAGGTAACCGCCTACATTATTACTTTTTAAATATTTTTCCTGAAATCACTCCTTTCTGAGATAATTTTTTTCTTTAAATAGAGAAGTATCACCTACCATAAAAGAAAGGAATCCTTAAAAAGTGGACTCTGCAGCTGGGCTCGGTGGCTGAGCCTGTAATCCCGCGCTTTGGGAGGCTGAGGTGAGTGGATTGCCTGAGCCCACAGGTTCAAGACTCACCTGGGCAACTTGGCGAGACCTCATCTCTACAATAAATCAAAAAATCAGCCGGGCGTGGTAGCGCATACCTGTAATTCCGGCTACTTGGAAGGCTGAGGCAGAAGGATCGCCAGAGCCCATCAGGTCAAGGCTGCGGTGGCCGGGAGCAGCCACTGCACTCCAGTCTGGGTGACAGAGTGAGACTCCAACTCAAAAAAACAAAAAACTGAACTCTGGCCGGGCTCAGTGCCTCAGCCTATAATCCCGCACTTTGGGAGGCTGAGGTGAGTGGATTGTCTGAGACTGCGGGTTCGTGACCCGCCTGGGCAACTTGGTGAGACCTCATCTCTACAATAAATCAAAAAATTAGCCGGGTATGGTAGTGTGCACCTGTAGTTCCAGCTACTTGGAAGGCTGGGGCGGAAGGATCGCCAGAGCCCAGCAGGTCAAGGCTGCAGTGGCCAAGAGCGGCCACTGCACTCCAGTCTGAATGACAGAGTGAGACTCCAACTCAAAAAAAAAAACAAAACTGAACTCTAGCTAAATCCTATTTGCCTGCAGGGTCTCTGCCCCCTTCTCTCGAGAGCTTGTTTGGAGGTTCTAGCAAGGGAGTACAGCTACTCATATAGACTTGACCAAAGAATGGTCCTACTCTAACGAGGATAGTCATCCTCTTCAACCGAGCATGCAGCTTCGGGAGGGACACACATGGAGCAGTGAGGGAGGAAGGAGACACCCGCCTAGCCAGCCAGATCAACCTGGTG